GGGGGATTTGCAATTTAACAGGCCCCCCGGCCTTTCCGGGCTTTGGCAGAGGAGCGGCGGGGTCCCGCCGGGCTGCAGCCATCGCCAGGGCCGAGCGCGAAGGCCGGAAAGGAGGGAGGAAGCGTTCAGACAAGGCGCCTTTCAGCTTCTCCCTGCCTTATATGGGCAGCGGGTTGTGCAGGCAGGAGTCTGGCAGGCAGCCCTGGGTGGGGAGCGGTGACCTGCGACCCCCGGCCATGGAGGAATCCCACTCGCAGCACAGGCTGCCCTTCGAGAGGCACGAATCCTTGCTCCAGCCACGCTCCCGGGGTCCCGCTCCCTTTGCTCCCTCGGAAACTCGAGTGCAGGTGACCGTGAGTGATAAGGAGGGACAGAAATGCACGGTTCGGTACGTCCCGCCGTGCTTTCACAGGGCACGTGAGCGCCGCTGGGAACCAGCTCAGCGCTGCGCCGGGGGCTGTAGAGAGCCAGCACTCCTGCCCCTCCGGCCATAGCTGCCAACCCACACACCCACTCCTGTCGCTCTGGCTCGTAGCTGCCTTTCATCCACACGCTGTGTTAAAGAGCGGAGTGATGCAGGCAGTGCCGTATCCACACCTCATCCCATCATAATAATAAAACGGGATCCACAATTGATTTCCCCAGAGGAATTGTTCCCTCCGTGATAAGGACAGCAACAACTCACACATCCGTGCGTTATCCGAAGGGAGCTGGAGAACGGCCCTTCACACATTACAACCCCTCGCAGGTCTCGGCTCAAGCACGTTAAACCCTGGGTACGTCCCCATCCCCAATGTCGCTGAGAGCAGCTCCCCGAGGTGACAGACGCCGGGCTGCAGAAGGGCCAGGGGACAGGTCTCCCACGCCACGGGAGCCTCCACCCTCCGGCAGGAAGGGCTGCGCCCAAAAACACCCATTTTAAGAGTTTGGAAGAGGAGCCACAGGACAGGAACCTGCAATTTTCTTGCCGCACGTGGGCTGTAAGAGAAGGCTGCAGGCGTCAAAGCTGTCACTTTGGAGACTCATTTAGCTGCACAAGACACCATTATCCAGCGTCTACCAGTGACCGGAATAGAAGACGCCTTCTCAGCAGACACAAATAGCGGAGGCATCATGAGCGACGTGAAACCGCTCCGGCTCAGCACGCAGCTGCCCCATCCCCACCCCCGGCACACAACTGGCTTTTCCAGTCGCAGCGGGGTGGACAGGGAGTGTATTTTTGGTGGGAGGAAACATAGGATCAGCCTCCTCAGGGTCATCCGCAAGGACAGCGGCTCTCCAGCCCCACAGGAGCTCTGCTCCAGAGGAACAGGCAAAACTGCTGGGAAGCATCGCCGGGGAACGATGCTCCAGCAGTCAGAAACCCCTTCAGAAACCCCTTGCAGAGGACACAGACCCAGTGATTTCCCTTCTCCTGCTGCAGCTCCCAACTGGTCCCAGCCACAGCTTCTCCGCAGGGACAGACGCTC